ATATACCTCCCTAGACACAAAACCTAAAAGCACGTTTCTGCAAGAAAAAAAAGAGGCAGTACTCAATCCGACATGAGGGCAAATTTGTATTATAGCATAAAGCATTTCCCATCTTCTCGTGATTCTTCACCAAACCAGGTTGCACAGTGTGACCCCTTCTCCCTACAACTGGTGGAGAGAGCATGATGAAAGAATAAAGCAGATGTGTAGCATATAGCATGGCAGATTCTACCTATCACCAGCTGCCACTACAGCAGCATATCKTCTGGTCTCCATATTTATTCTTGAAAAAGATCACCATGGGAAAGGATAAAGGAGTTCAATTACAGCGCTAGTGAGCTCTCCTCACTCTGGGCTAACAGCAGAGGGATGAGCCCATGATTTTAGAAGTACACAGCTGTCGCGTTCCAACCGTGGGGAACTACGAGGAGTTCTTTTAAAATGGGTGGTCGAGAACGAAATTAAGTTAAACGAGACAAACTTCGTATCTGAGAACCATTTACTGGTAACGAAAACCGAGAAGAAGTAGTTACCCACTAAAGGGGGCTGAAAAAGACAGCAAGAGAGAAAGGAAAATTGAAAAGGAATGGCTAGAGAGAGACAGGAGACAGAGGGAGAGAGAGGGCGTTACCACCAGTAGGACCTGGGGGTGCCATCGGCGTCCACGTGACGGGGGTGAGCGCACTGCTGGACACACGGGTGAGTGGACACTCGGGCAGGTCCGGGATCCTGGGTGGAGTCGGGGTGAGGATCGTGGCGGCGGGCGGGGTCGGAAGCAGGCAGGTGGTTCAAGCAGGACAGGCGGYGGCTGAGTCAGCGAAGGAGCGGGGCGAGGCAGACGCTGCAGTTGAGGCTTGGAGAGCAGCCGGCGTCCTGCCAAGCGCCCAGGAGGAGGGAAGGCGGATACGTGGTGGGTGAGCGAGAGCTAGCCAGGGCAAAAATCGAGGCAGGCTGGAGCCGGGGCAAAAAGGACCCCTCAGCAGCAAGCCCACCAGCAGTGAGCAACAAAGAGCAAAAAACAAAAAAACCCAACCACACGCACAGAGACAGAAGACCACCTCCAGCTCAGCAAAGACCCCCACAAAACTCCRCACCCCAGGCTCAGCTCTCTAAAGTCCAGCTGCTAAGGTTCAGCTCCCCCGAATTCAACTCCGCGAATTCGGCACCCCCAAAGGCTCTTGGCGCAGYTGATTTTTTTTATACCCCCTGGCTTCTCCCARAGTCTGCCTGCTGACCAGGAGACCATTGGTCCAGTCTAAGCTTCTTCCATTGGTGGAGCCCTTCCACCATCTGATTGGAGAAATGTCTCTGGGGAGGGCAGTGTCTCCTGGTGCCCATCTGACGTGTTGCCAGGCGAAGTCACCCCAGAGACAAGGCTTCACCCATCTGCTATTTGCCTCCTGCAGGCTGCACATGTGCACCCCTTCCCCCACATGCTTCTGACAAGCAGTGTTGAGGCAAACCAAGATTAAAATGGCTCCTCACAACAGCCCACACATTTCCATACATTACCATTATATTCGTCTGTGATATTTCTAGTGGTATAACTCAGGGTACTTGTAAGTCTTCAAAGACTACCTTGSTAATCTCAGCAGGGTGATTCTCTGATATCAGACTGGTTTAATAGCTCTCGTTTTCTGCCCCAGCATCACCATGAGCAGGTGACAGCCTTGATACAGTGGGAGGTGACCCTCTCCCTGGTGTGGTGCCGGCGTGTATGTTCGTCCCCTCAGCGTTGCTGTGGCAAGTGGGACTGAATCAGTTTACACCTCTTAGGTACTTTGGCCTTTAAGGATTCTGGGGTTTTCCTTGGATCCCCGAGGATCARGAATTCAGACTGCCTGCTGAAGTGGATTGAGGTTCTTCTAAAAGGATGGTCCTAATCTAATGAGACAGACTCAGCAGTGTCCGCACATGTTGGGTTGCTTTCCATGTTCAGCATGCACGGAACGGAGAAGAGCAGCAAACTGCATCATTCCACATTTTAGCTGAGAATCCCATGATGGACTGCGTGCCACACAGCCATGACTTTTTAACAGACAGCAGCGGCGTCCTACTGCTGTGGCGCCTTCCATATGCAGCCWTGTAGTGCCACCTGCAGATCAGAACAAGGCATTCCTACTACTCCTGCAGGAAAAGCCCATCCCACCTTCAGCTGCACTCCARTCCCTCCAGACAGCAGCTTACGGTAAAGGAGAATCCAAAACACAGCTCAGCTTCAGCTACAAACTGAGCTTTGTTCCTCTGCAATACAAACGAAAGAAAAGGCAAAAGCAAACAGAAGGATCTGGCCACTTGCAGAACTAGGTCATCAAAAGCTGTGTCCAAATTTGCAAAGTCCTGAGTCATGTTATTTTATTTGGGAAAGTATTTCACAGAATACCCCACTCTGAGTTTGGCTGTCATGAGATCTTGTGGGTCCTCTGCTACTCCTATTATAGTACACTGGTTAGCAAATTAGGTAAAAAAAAATAGATTAGCACTTTAGAGAAACCTTAACATGACYTTCTGAGCAGCAATTTTACAACCATAGCAAATTATAGGCACAATAACTGTGGTGAAACCAGTTTGAGGAAGTGCCTGATGTGCAGATCCAAGCTGGCATAATACATCTGTTATTACATAAGCCAAAAGCTTCTAGCAGATAAAATCATCAGAAATCATAAATCAAGTGAATTAAACATTTGACTTTGCAGGTTTTTTTTCACCTTTTTACTCAAGATGGACACTGATGAGGTCAAAAGTAGCTACTTGTTGCTTATTACTCAGAAACAATGATTTTATTAATATACAAGACCTGACATTTTCAAATTCCTGAGGTACCATCAATATATTTTCTAGCATAGTGCAATCTTTAATTAGTTCTTAATTTTTACTCCTTGTTGAAATTTCTTCTTCAAGGCAAAATTTCTAAAACACCAAGTCCTATTCATCTCTCATGTTCTCCCGTCTTTGCTTCAACATTCTTCCAACCTCCACCTTCCTCTTTAGTATTAAACTAATACCTTTTACAGAAACCTTTACAATTTTCATGTACTTTATTGATAGGTGCACGTAAACTAATCAGGAGTGATTGGAAGCAAAAGAATGTGGCATTAACACAAATCAAATTTATCAAATATAAACTCCATACCAGTAAGGTCATCTTGCAAAATGCACATAATAAAAAAAAAAAAACAAGACAAATCTACCTCTTAGCCTAAAGTATTGTTTGCACAATGCAAGAGGTCTAAATCTCCTTGTTCTTTTATCGATATAATATTACATATTTTTAGTAATSTAGTACAATCTGTCTACTTCAGTATCTTTGGGGATTTTTTGGGTAAACCCATTTGGTTTGGGTTTTGGGTTTGGTGGGGATTTTTTGGTTGTTTGGTTGGTTTTGTTTTCTGGGAGCAGGGATAGGGGAGTTGAGCAAAAATAACCAACATCTGGTAGGAATTTGGTGATGTTAGACCAAACTTATTTGAAGCCCAACCTAAGCCTCAGAATGTACCATTTTGGGGGACACCTTCCAGACACAAAGCTCACATCTGAGACATATGGAGATCTGTGCATCTTATGGGAAGACTCTTTGGCTTTCCACAGCATATGGAGAGCATATACCCCAGAGAAATGTTCACTTGTGACATTTTAGGCCTCAATATCCTCTGTGCATTAGAGCTATGTTGACTTTGGGGACTTGTTTATACAACCTCTAATTACTGTAAATAATATGAACTCATTAAGGAATAGGTTCTTTGAAAACTATGGCAAGTTTCTTTGTCTATATGTACTCACAACAACAAGAATAATCAGCAGATTCTCTGAGGAGTTCTTGGTGCTGGCTCAGCATGTGTTGTTCCGCTGATTAGAGATGGGAACTTCAAAGCTGACCTCTGACCAGCAAGGACTCGGTAAGGAGGTGACTGGGACAGGCAGAGGCAGTTTTTCCTACATCTTGGGAGATCAAGTAGACTTGGAAAGGATGGGAAGCAGTAAACAATGAGATCAAAAAGCCAGAAATAACAGAAGAGGATAGAAGAGGAGGTTTTTTTGGGACTGGCAGAACAGAGAATGGTGAAGGACACACAGGAAGTATCATTTAGGAATGGAGTAAATGAAGAGGCCTGTGTGGTGGGAGCTGTAGGAGCCCTTGCTGCCAGAACAACAAGGGTTGGCAGGGGAGTTAAGATACCCAATAAAGAATAATATAGGCCAGGCTCTGTTGGTATCGAGCTCCTCAAGATTTGAATCAAAATTTGCAGCTTTTTGAAGTTGTTATCAGTAGCTCTAGCTGTACAGTTACAACTAAGCAATTGCATTGTGAACATTGTATGCTCGGCTAATCTTTTGTTTKAAGGARAAGGGAAGACAATCCCAAGATGAATGGGCTGTCTGGATAGCAGCTTCCAGGAGTGAAGTCAGCAGGCCTGAGCAGTACCTGAGGGAAAGGTAATTCCGGCAGTGGGAAATCACGACCACCGACTCACAGACCACCTCAAAACAGACCCCAGACTCSAAAGGAGAGCAGAACTGCATCTGTGGAAAAATTACCACGAGGAGAGGAATAACCAGCAAATAGGGGTTTGAGTGTTAATTGACAGAAAAGGTATGTAATTTGTAACCAAAGAACGCTGACGCCCTCGTTTGTTAAAATGTACAAATAGCGTAACGTTTTGACGACAGGGCAGGCAGCCTTTCGTGGGTCACCGCCCGGCTCCCAGCTCGGCGCGAACSGGAATAAAGCGGAGAGTAGGGCGGGAACAGCGCCTCGGTGTGTGAATGGGCGCTGTGCACCCGGTAACGAGCCTGCGGTYAGGACGACACCATCGCTCGGGGAGTTTATCCCAGAGCCTGGATTGCCAGCCGAGGGGAGCGGAGCCGGGAGCGGCCCGGCGCGGGGAAGCCCCGCACGTGCGCCTTGTTTTGGGGGCGGGGCCATCGCGAGCCACCGCGCCTGCGCGGGAAGGCGGGGCTAGCGCAGGGCCTGGGCACGCCTGCGCGGGGCTGGGCGGGGCCGGGCTGGGCYGAGCCGAGCCGAGCCGGGCCCGGGCGGCGGGGCCTGTGCGGTTCCCTCCGCCGTCAGCGCCGAGCCCGGGCGGGGCGGGCAGCGAGCAGCGGCGGCGGGGGTCACCCCTCCCGGGATGTCGCAGAGTGTCATGTCCGAGACCTACGGTAGGATCCGGGGGCGGGGTGAAGGGATTCCCCCTCTCCCTTCTACCCTCGGGGGAGCGGGCCCGGGGCCGGTCAGTGCCCCCTGAGGAGCGGGGAAGGAGCGGTGTGATGTGAGGGTTCTCCGGGCTCGGGAGGGTCGCCCTGCCCACCGCTGCCCTGAGCCCCGCAGCGCTTGCTCCGCCCATGGCTGCCCGGCCGGCCCGGCAGCAGCGCTCTCAGTTATCCTTCAGGGCGAGCAGGGACCGGCTTGAGCTCTGCTTGTTATGGTCCGGGGAGTCCAGAAGGAAACTTGCATTGCATGTCCTCTGGGAGAAGCTGCCCGTTCCTCTRCTTAGTGATGGTGTGTACTTCTGCGGGTCAAGTTAGGGTTTCGGTCCTGTTGTGTTCGACATGCAGGCGTCAAAAAGAGTTGACTGTGAGAGTTGGGGTGGGAAAGATCAGTGGGTGTGTTCGTATGTCCCTGTGTTGGCATAGATGTCTAAGCAGGAAAACATCCGATGGAGTAAGTCGGAGTGCAGGCACTGACAGTGTGTCACTGACAGTGTGTCAGTGCCTCGCTGGGAAGCATCAAAGTGAGGAGCCAAAGAGGTAAGCAGAGCTGGTATTGCTGGCTAGGTGGAGGAGATGAGAAGCAACTGAATAGTATTAATTTCTTTTCTTTATAATTTTGCTTAAAACTCTGCTTAGATAGATATCTACCCTTTCTATACCRTACAGTCCTGTAATATTTTCCAGTAGAAAGTTGCTGTTGTACATGTGAATGTATTCTAAGTCCATGTAATAGATTCATATTCATAGCTCATGAGAGTAAGGTCAGAATTGAATACTAAATGTTAAAGCAAAATTGGACATAACCACTCTAGAAAYTGTTAGGGATGCTGGAATGTCCATCAGGAGTAGGTCAACTGACCTGACTGTTTCTATTGTGTAAGTCAGTYTATTTTCAATATTCATCAATGCTTGATGTCCTCTCCTACTGGTCAGTGCTGCGGTGTAAGCAAATACACAGAACTAAAAGGCAAAATGAGGCAAGAGTATGGGGCAGCCCTTGATGTGACAATATTAGAATACTAAGACCCTGATTATTTTGTCCACATGTCCTAGAAACATGTAAAACTTATATGTAGAAACCAGAGGGGCGTGCTTTGTCCATCCAGACTTGAGCATGAACAAGTTCTTCATGCTCTGAGCTTTTGTGATAAAGAACTGGGGTTACTCTGGCTATGCTTATGGTGCTCTCTGAGCAAAAGAAGTTTGTAGAAAACCAGAGATGACAGAATTTAAGTGGTGCTCCTCTTTTCATGCTGTAATCCTAGATCAGCAARCTAGGTGATTGCTATCTGAAACCATGACATTTAAACTATTTTTTGCATTGTTTCAGCAATGCAGAATAAGGATAGTAAGCCCAGTCTAGCTGTTAATAGTGTTTTTCCAATTATTTTGGTACCTTGGAAAACAAGCCCTTGAAATGGAAGTTTTGTAGTTGTGCGTTGTTCCTTTTATTTGTTTAATTCCTGTTTGATATATTWCCCTTTGGAGCTTCCGTGTTTGTCCTATGCACACACAAGCTACAAAAGATTTCGAGCTAGAATGCTTGAGAGGGTCAAGTTCTACAGAACGTAGAAGAATAAAAGCTAASTTATAGCATAAAATTAATATAAACTAATGTCTCTACAATCTCTGACCATAACAGTAGTCAAYATCTAACGTTGCAGTTTCCTGTTCACATATGTAGCAGCCCCATTGACAGATCAAAGTAAAAAATACAACATGATAAAATTATGTCTTCTGTGCTTGATGAACTCTCTGGATTTAATGTGCTCACTGTCCTAACAAAGAGTGGCTTGTTTGTGACCAGCTGTAACATGACCATCGATGATGGAAGTATTAGGTCAGTTTCCCTCTGGTGACTGAGACCGGGGGTCACTGTATCCTCCTGCTGGAATCCCTATAGATTGTAAATGCTTAGTCATGAATTAGATTTTTCTTTTCACCTGAATTAGGACCCATTCTAATTATGTAACCTCATCCCATACAGATAGGCTCAGAAAACTGGTTGGTGGTTGGGTTTGTGTTTTTCTTTCCAATGTTGTTTTGCTGTCTGACTTTTATGTTACTTTAATTTTGCTGTGAGGTTTCAACTTCTGTTTCCTTTGAAAGGGGATTGATTTTTTTCCAATATTTTTCTCAATCCATGGGGAATAAAGAGCCTTTCCTCTGGCCACTGCTGTTAATTTCAYGTCTCTTGGTTTTTTTCCTCCCTGAGTTTCCTCCTCTGTGTCAAATTCTGTCTTCTTGAAGGCTTTCTGTTCACTCACTTTTCACAACCCTTTCTGCCCACTACCAAGATTCTTGTCTCCTCCTTCTTACCAAACAAAATTCTGTAGCTTCTCTGTCTTGACACTAAATTTTGCTTATAATTATCTTTTCACTCCTGTAGCTCTATTTCCTCAGCTGTGTATCTTCTGTTCTTAGCTTTCTTACCTGWTCAATTATTTATGTGTTCCATATCTATTCAATTCTTATGTGCTCAATTTATTTCCCTTACAAAGTGCCAAAACCAAACATGAATACAAGCTACCTCCATGAATTTTGAAACTGGGTTTAGAAAAAATAATCTTTCTGCTGCTTTTGGGAGAGAAGGGTCATTCTTTAAAAAGTTTAACATATAATATTGGAAAGAAATCTCTTCTTTATATAAAAGCTATCTTAACTCAAGTTTCTGAGATGTAATGGCTTTTCTGTAGATAATTGCCATATAAAAACACAAGCATGTTTTAGCTTACTTCCTAGTGGAAAATATACATGTCTTTGTGTTAAATGCAGCCTGACATAAAAATTGCTTATCCTTAGTAAGTAAATGAGAAGCAACCTTTGAATTTTAAATGGTAGAAGGATGGAAGTTGTGYGACCATTGAGTAAATGCTTTGTGTAAGATTGAAGCCAAATCTCTTCACTCCTTAGTTCCTTGTGTTTTCTCCACTGCATCTAGTACACATAAGTTTACCAATCTCYCTCATTGTCAGAGAATGTGTAGTGTTTCCATCCACTTGAAAATAATTCTTTCTGGAGTGGACAATTTGATTCATCCTTTTCCTACCATCCCATCCCCTTCCATTTACCTGATGGTATTTGCATTTATGACCCTGGTCTTCCATTTGTTTCAAATCTAATTTTATTTCTTAGAGAGCATAGCTCTTTTGCAGATCTGCCCTCTTTGGAGCATTCTTTGTGCCAATTGGAATAGAACTAGGTTGATCTGTTCTATCTGTTTCTCATGTTAACTTACTGCTAGAGAAAGGAATAAGCAGAAGGAATTGCTCCTCCTTTCATTTAGAGGCAGCATATGCYGGTAGGAATGCTTCAGAGCACTCTTTGCTCCTACCCTCTGGCATGAATAAGAGTTTCCAAAGGGTCGGCATTAGTGAATTGTAAATTCTACTCCATTAATAGCAAGGAATTGGAAGAAGATCAAACTGAGATTGGGGATATAATTTGGTCACCCCCTACSCTACTGTATTAGCAGTGGAAAAGAAACAATTGAATTCTCGTTGCATTTTAAAGACTAAGCTACAGGATCTCAGAAGCTGTTCAATTATTCCTTCTGCAGGAGCAGACTTCAGTCAAAGGAGGAGGTTGGATATCTGGGGGTGGTTGCCACATCAACCATCTGTTTTTGCTGATGCTTGAGTCAAAGCCCACAATTGTCTCTCTTCTCCTTTTACCTTAGCTCACACTGCACCACCACCCCCAAAAGAAAAAAACAAACACAAAAGACATAATGTAATTCATGTAGTTTAACAGCTYGTGCTGCTGGTGCATCTTTAGGATGAAGCCACAATTTTATTCCTTTTCACCTGTGCTAGAAAATAAGTTTTGTTTCCTATACCCCATACCCAGTTTGGGATCAGGTGATGCATATAGCCCTCAGAGGGGAGTAAGCTAATTCTTTATATTGCCTTATTTCTTTAAASAGCCATGCTATGCTATGTTTCATCTCCTTATAGTTTCTGTAGTGCATATCCTGTAATCTTTTTTCCCTTTAGCACAGAGTTCAGTTTTCATCCTAAAACCCTCCTGTATAAAGATGATCTTATTTAAAATGCTTTAACTTTTCTAGACCTTTTCAGTAGCCTGCATGGCAGCAAGCATTTGTAACATCTGAATGATGTTGCTTTTCAGCTTCTCTATGAAGGAGGAACAACAGAACTCAAAAGAAAAGTTTCTCTAGGGTGACAGCCTTGGCAGCTGACTGGAATGCTGGAGCTCTAAGCTGCTTTGTCAATTRAAAAAAAAAGGGAGATTAAAAAAAAAAAAGAAAATGCTATGAAATGAAGTGAATTAACTCCTCTGGGAAGGGGACACCAAAAAGAAAAACTGCAGCAATTAAGCAGTAGTGCAAACAGTAGAATGTGAGTTGCATTTGGTGAAGTTGCAAAGAATGAATATATAAAAGTTCTTACCAAGTTTGAGTCCACAGTGATGTTACAGTTGTTCTAAAAGAAGCTATCTGCCCCATCTCACTTGGTTTCTGTGCTTCCAAAATTTTTRCATACATCAGTACAGTTTAAAAAGAAAACACTTAATGCCCTAAATTGCTTAAATAAGTAATAAAAATGTAGTTGATGTGGAACTAGTTATCATACAAAATGACGTTCTCAGAAAGTAGTTCCAGAATAACAAAATGAAAAATGTTGTCCCTGTTCTTACCTGGTATTGCATTACTCATTAATGTACTAGTCTGTAAACTTAAAAGAGTGTTAAATCTTTTTTTTAACTTTTTAGTATTTTTAACTTTTGGTATTGGCACAGCCTTTTTCTTGTCCTTCCTTGCAGTTGATTAAATGTGCAGAGTATTCCCTATTTCCTGACCCATACTACCCAGTGCTTCTGGATAAACTGATAACATAAGTCTAAAAGCCTTTTGCTAGTTTGAACAATTTGCATTAAGTTGGAGTTTAAAATGATAGAAGCAGTTGGAGTTTAAAATGATAGAAGCAATTAGAGTTTAAAATGATAGAAGCATTTTGTGAATGTGACAATGTCTTTTACTCCATGAGTCTACATATGTTTGGAAACATTGCTGCCTTTGGTGTGGAAAGGTTTTGATTTTTTTTGTCAGAAGATTGTGACATTTTCATTTCATGGTGGACTAAAACACTTTTTTTTTTTTAGTTTGGTGGAATAAAACACATTTCTCTTAGTTTCATACTATGAACAAATGAATTGTACCTAGTTTCAAGTTTCATCTTTAAAAGCCCATTTGCCATTTTGTCAGAGGGAAATTTGTTTTTTGTCTACTAAGTATGCAGTCATTGAACTGGCATCTAAGTGGGTTATTTTTAGGGAAGATTCCCTTTTAAATTTGTCTGGCACAATAGAATCTTGATAGGAATTGGGAGTCTGTTGTAAAATGCTATTAGAATCAATGTATTATCAATTTAAAGTCATGAACATAAAGTCCCCAAACATCACTGTTGCTTTCAGAGCAAAAGTGAGATATAGCTATAAATATAGCTATAGATATAGCTATAGAGCACTTCAACTTAAAACACCTTAGGGAGAAATACACTGATGTTGTGATGCTCTTCCAGATGAGTCCCTGACAGCCACATGATTGTTCCAAGGCCTCACTGTCCTGCAGCCTCTCTGTGCGGAAGGAAGCAGCGTTAAATTTGCGCTCAGTGTAGGTTTGTGGGTTGCAGAAATATGCCTTCATGAGCCACTTTTGACAACCAGTGCTTGCAGTTACAGAGCAAATTAGTGGGGGAAGAGAGTTCTGGTTTTAGTCTTTTCCTGGCTTAGGTTTACAGTAGCTGTTGTACTACTGACAATAATATGAGTCTTCTGTGGAAAAAGAAAGGAAGGTAAACTTGAATTTTTTAATTGTTTTTAAGGAGAAAATCTGACAAACAGGATTCACCAGATACAAAATAGAACCAGTTTTAATTTTATTTCAGATTTTTGTTTGGAAAAACAGCAGTACCAGATTATTTTAATTGTGTCTATATCTCAGAATATCTTGCATTTTGCGGTACTCTGACAGTGGTAAAACCAGTGAGATTATACATTCACACACAGAATCATTTAAATACAGAAAATGGTGTACAAGGCAGCTGACCAGTGATATTTGATCCATAAAAACTGAAACTTGGCTTCCTTTGACATGATTTTTTTCTTAACCTGACACTTTGGGCTATTTATGATAGCTACATTTCATACTAACATTGAAGACTTGATAGGATCGAGTGTTCTCAGCTTCAGCGTTTTTTTCAGTTGAGATGACACAAAGGGCCCTTCTTTACAGGAGATAACATGAAATTTTCACAACCTGGAGGGAAATCCTTTTTGTACCTTTTTTTTTTTTTTTTAATCCAGAAAGCGTGAGCAGCTGGGTGGGGGCGTGAAGAACAAGAGGATTTTGAAACAGAAATTCTTGAGCATGTAAATGGTCATATTTGTCAGCAAGAAACAGCCATCTTCTGAGATGGGTAGAATTCAGAATCTATACTGAACCTGTTACAGCATTTGAAACAAGATAAATCATGCAAGGGCAAAATGTAAAAAAGCAAAAATCTGTAGTAAAACATTACCTCATTTTAAATATGAATAAAATCTGGAAGACAGGTGAAGACAAAGAATGATAGACATTTCCAGGATTCATAGCCCTCTGTTTTGCTACTGACTTTTTAACCGTGGGAATTCTGTCAGCATTTGGGAAACTTGCTTATTCCTTTTGCCATTGCAAGGGGATCTTTATGATATACCACAACAAGTAACTCCTGTGTTAAGTGGAATGGAATGAGCACATAGATTTGTGTGCRTCTTAAATTCAATTTTTAAAACTAAATACTCAAATGAGGTCCTGATAGAGGATTTTATCAGTTCTTTGACTTAGCATTATTTAGTTTTCTTTTTATTCTGCCATCCCTTAGRCCAATACCCATGAAACCCATTTGACAGCTTTGAACACTCTTAACAAAATTAATGTTTTTATTTTTGTTGATATAGCAAACTTAATCATTTTCCTTGCATGCTTTTCAGATGCCTTCTGGAGACCTGCTGTGTTTGTTAGAGAAACTGAATAATAAAGAGTAAAAAATACGCTGCTGGTAGAAAAATACATAGTGAATCTTGCATGAGCTGTAAAGGTTGCCTTGGTGGCAATTGGGAAGCAGTTGCAAGTTTTCCAATCAGTTTATCAATTTTGAGAGCAGTAAGACAGGGAAGCTTTCTCCGGTCATTAGCAAAACTGAAAGCAGATTTGGAGCGGTAGCATTAAAGCATTATATGCCACTGTTAAAACAATAGAAATGGGCCATAAATCTTGAATATGTGTATTATCTATGAGCACTGATACAAATGGCTCATAAATAGGTTACAGAAGTACACGTATATTAATTTAACATGTGGAGGAAATGTGAAAGTAGGCATCCCAGAATAAAAATTGCTTCTTCCRTCTACATTTTTTACAGAAATACTGTAGTTGTGCCAGCTGTATAAGGATTAAAATAAAGTGTAAGTATTAAACTGTTAATAGAGAAGTGCAAATTAATGTAAATTTTAAACCTACAAAATTAATAAAAAAACCTGCAAAAATCCCATAAGTATGGATTTTAAGAAATTGCATCATTATGTATTTGTGTTGACTATAGTTAATAGCTTACATACTCTTAAAACAGGTTACTGGAATACAAGCCAACCATTTACCTGTGATTCAGACTATTTTAACTGAATTGTAATTCARCCATTTCCACCTCATTTTGTCTTTCTTGCCTTTCCATAAACAAGAATTCTTAGCTCTTGCTGTGTAACTTCAGTACTGCAGACACTGGATTATTCTTCAGATTTATTGTTTTGCTTATTTTGTCATCTATTCCCTTCTCTTTGAAATAAGAGTTAGTAGAGAATAGCTGGCTTGTGAACTTGGTCTTGTAACAAAAGTGTGAGTCCATACTAAAATTTAACAATTTTTCTTTTTTCTTTTTTTTTTTTTTAATTTTCTTTCAATTTTCAGATTTCCTGTTTAAGTTCTTGGTCATAGGAAATGCTGGAACTGGAAAATCCTGTTTGCTACACCAATTTATTGAAAAGAAATGTAAGTACACGTGAAGAACAGTAAGAGTTCTCCATTGCTTTGTACCGCAGKTAAAGGCTCTGCCTACATGATTTCCTATTATTGGTGTAGAAGCTCCTCTAATTTGCTTGTTTGTGTAGATGAGGATTTTAGCAAAGAATAACTTTAAGAACCGTGCTGTAAATCCTTATTGCTCACTGTTTGTCTTTGCTCACTGTTTGTCTTTTATCTAAAGCCTAATATAGAGCATTATTCACTATTGCTCTCAAATAAATACAGCAGAATGTTGGTGAAAATACAGACTTACTTTTTCTGGGAGTTATAATTTGCAGTTATAATCTTCCCTAGATATATAGTAGAGACTTGGATCTTTTAGAAAAAAATGATGAAAGAAAATTGACTTGCTTGAGTAGATTTAGAAAGCCTGTCGCATCTTTCTAAATAAATAGTAACTYCATTTTCTTTATTAAGGTCTGTATTCTGTGATGAATACAGGTAGAGATTTCACTGTGAATGTTATTCAGAGATGAGCAGGTAACATAAGAGAAAAATTTCTATTGGATTGTACGTTTGGCATCAAGACAACAAAAATAATACGCATTTAGAGACGTTTGTAAACCTAAGGTAACTGTTGTCTTTCTCAGCCAAATAATAATTCACCTTATCTCTTGAGGAATATTTAAGGATAAAAATGTGTAAGCACTAAAGAACATGGCTTGATTCTGACTAAACTTGAAACAAGCCCTTGGCGTCTAGTAAGGGCAGCTGTAAATTGCTGAGAATCTGTGATTTCAACAACCTGCATAGGGCAAGTATCTTAACTTGGTGCATCAATGAAGAATTGGCTCTTGCATATTTATGGACAAGACTCTGGGTTTTTTTGTGCTGCATTTCCATGAATTTTAATTTTAAATGGAATCAAACTATTAGAAAACACACTTGGAAAAAGTGTACAAAAAAGTATMTTGCTGCTTTTTAAAGTGAACTGGAAATAATTTAAAGCAGACCTTTCTAGTAGTAATTTTGAATTGACTAAGCTGTCAAAAATGGTAAGAAAATTTATTTCTGTGTGGTGGCAGTAGGCTTATGAGTGGCACTGAATTTGATGGTTCAGGAAGTAGTTTGTAATTTGAACACTGAGGAGTTTCAATGATACCTAAATTCTTTTATGTAAAAGCTATTTATTCACTCTAAATATTTTTCAAGTAAGTCTGGTTTTATTTCTTTTTTTTTGTAGTCAAAGATGACTCAAATCATACTATAGGAGTGGAATTCGGTTCAAAAATCATCAATGTTGGTGGTAAATATGTAAAATTGCAGATATGGGATACAGCAGGACAAGAGAGATTCAGGTATGCTCTTCAATCATTTTAAGTGTTAATAAATTGCTGCTGTRTGGTGGATCTGACTTTTCCCTGCTTATAAGCAGGCAAAGCTTCTTGGTCAGTGGAATTGTTTGTCTGCTTTCGTATTAACTAGGCCAGGCCTTCCAACCTGGGCATAGTGACACAGATCCTTTGATTTCAGTAGAGCAATGCTGCCTTGCAGGATCCGAGTTTCTGCCCTTTCTTTCACTGGGTGAATATCTTGCTCACCAGCCAAACTCATAATTGTTTTTTAACTAAGTGTATGTGATTAACCCTGTTTAGAAGACCTTCTATTAAGAAGTATAGTATAGTGTAGTATAGAAGTATGACTGAGTAAGTAAATGTCAGGAAGTTGTGAGCTCTTCAAAATCAGCATGAAAACAATTGCCCAGTATAATTCCATATGCAGTTTAATTAGGGAAGAAAAAAAAATCAAATTCATTGGGGTAAATACATTTCTAGAAAAACTGAGATCTCTTTAGTTTCTTAGAGAAGAAGCAATCAATCAGCTTAGAACCACCAGTATACTTTTAACACAGTATTTTAACAGTGTTCTACATCTGAGGCATAGATCAAATTCAGTAAAAATCTAATGTATTCCTTTGTAATATATTCACCATCAAATAGGACATCAATTTTTAAAAATACTTTTTGGAGGATGCAGTGTGTGTCTGAGGTTTCTTYGTTTTGGGAGAGGAGCTGGTTAACAAAGTTGGGTATGATGATAGAAGTCGGAGTAATGGGCAGCAATCCATGTAAATTTCTTCTATTAGTTAAGTCTTTTGGATACATTTCTGACTACATAAAGCTGGGCCGTGATACGTAGTCTTCATTAATGGGGTCACTTCAGTGTGTTGGCCAGATACCAGCCTCCAGTTCTGTATCTGGTCATGTATTATGATGATATGTACACTTTCAAGACCACACAGATCATAATGGTCTTTGAAAATCCTTGTACAGCTATGTTAATGAAAGTGCTTCATCAAAACCCTAGGTCTTATTAGTCTGCTGCTGCACAGCTGGTAACATTGTCTAAAAACCTGTTTAAATATGTTAATGAGAATTCAGTTTCATAATACAGATTGTGTTATATTAACCCAGGTAGTAAACAATGAAGGCACCACAGAAATGTGTATTTGTAATTCTGTTTCAGATCTGTAACAAGGAGTTACTATAGAGGGGCTGCAGGTGCTTTGCTTGTCTATGACATAACCAGGTAAGAAAGCCAGCAGGTCTTTTGCTCATAGACTGCCAGATCCAGTTAATGCATAATGGTTGCTCCCCAAGTACCTAATGCTAATCAAGATTAGGCAGGAAGAAAAGAAAGTAAGTATAAGAAATACTTCTGTTTCAGTGCATGTTTCAGTTTTGAGATAATGTGAATGTCATAAATGTGAACAGTCCTAAAGGGTTACACAAATATGTGGGCATTGGCCCACCAGTAGCTCATCTAATCATGGTGAACTCCATGCAGCCACTGGCTCAGCAAGGCTTGCCATAGAAACCRAGAGCAGACTTCAACCACCCTTAACCAAGGCAGTGCACCCTTACTTGTGGAAACTGCAGAGCAGTGTGCTGGGATAGAAGGTCATCCTCTGGAGAATCTAGCTCTGCCTACAAGTAATTGTACCCCAAAATTCCATTCATCTCTGTATCTTTTAATATTGTAATATTGTAGGCAGACAATAAAACACCCCTACAAATTACACGTCCACATTTTTCCTGCCACCATGGGCTGATACTTGTCAAATGAATTTTGTGTTGGTTAATGGTGGTTCACTAGGCTGTTGCTTTTTTTTTTGTCCTTTGAGTGAAGGGTTCTCTCAGCAGGCTTTGAAATGTGTATTCTGTGCTAAAGGTCAGCTGGCATCATCTGTCAGTCTTACACTGGAAGGCTTTCTCTCTGACCACTGCTGCCATGATGAATGGTGTGCAKGGTAACTGCCTGCAGTGTAGGTCCTGCCACCAATGGAAAAGTTCAGGCATACAMAAGCCTCACAAATTCTTACAGTCCCACCAGTAATTTAAATATCAGTTGAATTCCGACTGGAACAATATCTTATTCTGTTGTCCCGAAATGTCATGCACAAAAGCTTGAAGCTAGATTACAGCTTAATATTTTAGTTTCTCACTTTAACACAGTATTTTATAATTGTGTTTATATATTGTGGTTGTTTTAATTTTGCTTTTGAAAAACTTAAGCTTGTAAATAGTTTCATGAAGGAATTTGATACTCTTCCCAGTTCATCACTGGCATGTTGAGATGTGTAGGTGCCTTGCCTGACTACCAGCAGTTTGTTGTTTGCCACAAACACAGATTTGCCATCTGAGTTTTTGTTCCATGGTCTGTTCATGAGCAATGAGTGTGTCCTAATAAAGGATGTCATTTCCTACACAGCCGGGAAACCTACAATGCACTTACTAATTGGTTGACAGATGCAAGAATGTTAGCAAGTCAAAATATTGTGATAATCCTGTGTGGAAACAAAAAGGATCTTGATGCAGATCGTGAAGTCACTTTTTTAGAAGCATCCCGGTTTGCACAGGAAAATGGTAAGTCATACAAAACCTTTAGGCAGCATTCAAAGATGCATAATACTTCAAATCACTTAAATTTTTGTGCAGTTAGGCTGTACCTTGACTACAGAAAAGAGTTCTGTCAGTACATAAGGCCCAGAGAAGCAGCACCTGCAGTGCAAACTGCATGTACTATTTAAGTCTACCAGTGATTCTTCCAGTCACAGCTGCTGCTTTATGAGTACCCTCTGTGTGGAAATATATTCCGTAGGAAATACAACTTCTGGCACTGCCTTGCCTCCAAAAGGCTGAGGAGAAAATAAAGAACCTGATTTTGTATTTTTCAGCATCTTATAGACTCTGTAGATAATAGACAAGATTGTCTGGGGTGTGCTGCAGTTCAAAGCAATGAGTTTTACTTATGGAAAACTGAGTTCAGTGCAAGGCATGGATCCAGAGGACTATTACCTGGTCTGTAATATTCAGAATTTCCAGTCTGAGGACACGCTTGTGCATCAGCTAAAGCCAGTCTTGATCTGAGCTTCTGTGCTGCAGTCCTGCCATCAGCAAAATCTGGTTTTGCTTTTATAAATCAATGAATATCTTCTACCAACTCTTACTACCAGCTTTGCTTCTGAATATAACCTCTATTAATGGGAAACTGTATGAAGCTTGGGTTCATTTGCTGTTTTGTATGCGCAACCCAGGTCAGTATCTTTGGATTCCAGCTTTCTAGGGTTCATATGTAAATTTCAGAGGATGTTTTTTGTGGTTTTGCTATCAAAAGTTAATTTTTCTGGATTATGCTTTTTGACTGTAGATCKCTGTAAAAATACTTTTATTGCTCCTAGCTTTCATGCTTTGAATTCTATACCTAGTATTCCAGACTTGTTTTGAGGATGGTTTTTTTGGTGTCAAATGCAGAGCTGATGTTCTTGGAAACAAGTGCTCTAACAGGAGAAAATGTTGAAGAGGCCTTTGTACAGTGTGCAAGGAAAATACTCAATAAAATTGAATCAGGTAAATTAAGTCTTATAYTTWCAAAATGTTTTATTTTGTCTGAAAACTAATAAAAGTACACATGGAAGTATCACCATTCAAAGTCCTCTAACATCATTAACCCAAAASCCCCCAAAATTTCATTGTGGTAGTRTAACCTATTTGGTTTTTAAGCTGCTTCTCATATGCTTTGATAGGAATGAATGTCTAAGTGAGAGCTGTATATCCAAAAAGGGATGGTTGTGTGAACTTTGGGTGATGTTTATCTTAACAGTAAGGTCTGAGTGTAGGTTCTGTGTTCTGTGGGTTAGTGCACCCCTACAAATACCAAGCCTTATATTTGTCAGTTTTTGTAGTCCAGAAYAAAAACCTAATATCAGGGCAGACATAACTTTTAATTCTACTTCTCATATGTAGCAAGAATTTCAGTGAAGAGGATATGAACAGAAATACTAAAAATTTCAGTGATGTTTCCTAGCAACTGTGTTTCTCTGAAGTGACCTTTCTGACTCTCAGTTGAAATCATTTTTACTTTTGCAGCTCTAGAAATATACCAGAAGCTTCCTAACGCAAGTGGGCAGGTTTCTGTTGGGGACAGGCTCCTGTGTGATAGATGTCATTACATTAATTTGCATTCCAGTTTTCCTCTTTTCTAGCTGCTTGATATCTTCAATGTTTTGAGTACTGGTCATTGAAAATTACATAGATTCTAGTTATGTGTTTGAATGACAAATTTTTAGATGAAAATAATATATTTTCATTGGAATTTTCTGATTACTGTATAAAATCAATGTCAAACAGCAGCTTTCATTTTAAACAGACAAAAAGAACCTAAAAAAACCCAAAACCCAAATGAAAAAGCARTGTTTCTCATGATACTGTAATTCCATGACTGCTTTAAAGAGGCATTGCCACCACATAATTAAGTCTTTGTTCTGTGAACTGCTCATGAGGGTTTTTGTGCCAGCACACATCCATTAAATCATGCAAAAATGGAGACTCTAAGGAAACCATGGAGGTCTCTAGTCCAGCCTCATGTTGAAAGCACATTCAGGTTCAAAATTGTGAATTCAAAATGAGAGCAAGCTGCCCAGGGCCAGACAGGCACAATTTGAGATGCTCCCRGAATGGAGATTCCACAGCTCCTCTGGGTAAGATGTCCAGTACTAGTAGTTGCTACTGTCTTCTACTCAGTCCCCAGCCCATCCCAGTGCATCTCTGTGCTCCACCACAGGTACAGAGCACTGCATGTGTAGTTGCTGATTTAATGAGGTTCCTACTGGCCTCTTCCTGTAGCTCAGCCAAAGTCTTTTATGCATGACAGCTCAAATCTGAAGCTGTCCACTGGTCCTTTCAAGATGGTGCCTTCTGCTAACTTAACAAAGGGCTCATGTGTGYACACTGAACCTGAATAAGTGAGAGCTAATCAGAGGGATTCTTGGCTGTTTTTTTAAGTATTTCTAATCTTAGCCAGACCACCATACAGCCGTAAGAACAGTTCTGAATGCAGAGGTCATGAAGTAGTCAGAAATGGATACCAGAAGTTGGGGAGGTTGATMATTTTCCCTGGGGACAGTTCTTCATGTCATCCTTCTACCAGATTGATCCATTTTTGTTTGGCTTGGTATCTACAGTACTGTTTTCTTCGCTTATGAGCCTCTGAAGGCAGTAAGTTTTTAACTGTGTTTGCAGAAAACATTTTAGACTTTTCTTTTGTTTGAAGTAGTGCAAATGCATTTCTTGTTTGCAGCCTAACTTAGATTGGTTTGTCATCATGGTCAAGGGCGTATATTAAATTAGAAGAGAAAATGATTCGGGGTCCAATTGCCTAAAAGTAGACAGAATTAAGATAATCTCTCCATAAACAGATCAGAATATAATTATGCATTTCTTAAATCTAATGTTATCAGTTTATTTGGAATATATTATTTGTACATTATCTATAATCTTGTGACCATTTTGTTTCTCATCAGGAGAATTGGATCCAGAGAGAATGGGCTCAGGCATTCAGTATGGAGATGCTGCCTTGAGACAGCTGAGATCACCACGTAGAGCACAAGCACAAAGTGCTCAAGAATGTGGGTGTTAGAGAAACAAAACACAAAATCCCAAATACTTACTTTAGATACTGAAGGTAAGGTTACAAAACTCTCAGGGTGATGGGCAAATTAGCATATTTCATGAATGTGCTGTATTGAGTGCTTGGCTTTTCTGCAGTTAGCCTGTAAATTTACAGAGAATCTGTTGAAATAATGCACAATAGAATAGATTTGGGGTTTTATACTTTGGTTTTTCTTCCCTCATCTGCTCACTGAAGGAAGACTGATGCTCTTACTGAAATTTTTCTAGATCTTAGCTTACGCTGAGTAATGCTGTGGAAAACATTTTAAAATTTTTTATTCCTGAAATGCGTTATAGACCTAACAGTTAGCTAATGCACTGYAGAGAAAGTGAATCAGTTCTGTTGTATTGAGAACAAGTATTAGTAGAACTGATGTATGATGTATGATACAGTATCTTGTCCTGAGCTATTACAGTCTTTTCTGAAAATACGAAGCTTAAACACGAGGTCTAGAAATTAAGGGTAACACTAAATTTCAAACTTCCACTGACTTTTTTTGCCCCTACCTAAAAGCAGCCTGAAKCTATTCTGATTGCTATTAGCCTGTCTGCTATTAGCAGAAATAGTAGTATTTGCTGCTTAAGCAGTGGTGTCATCTGCAGTGGTTTTTCTGGGGCTGTTGCATCCTAGGAAACAGGTGTGCAGTGTTCTAAAGTCTTCCGGAGGTGTTCTTCAGGGAAARTGAGAAAAAAATTTTTGCCTTTAGCAGTTGTAGGGGAACAGACATAAAAATCACATAAACTGCTAAGAATAGCTCTGTGGTTATTCTCTCTTACAAACAGTTGTCCTTAAGACACCTCTCAGTATTCACTGGATTTTATATAACTCCTTGTGGTATGCAGTGACTGTTAGGACAGTCCTTWCTTCCTGTGTAGTTAATTAATTCTGATATAATTAATTATTATTTCTCCAATACAAGGACAGTGATATCAAATTAAATAAGTACTGCAGGCATAGTTACTGCATCACTTTTACTTTATTCATTCATCAGCTTGAGCAGTGCACACCAGCAGAGGCTTAATAAAATATAAAATAAGGTAGCACATAATTCTACATTCTCATATTTTCTTCTGTATTCTGGGAGCTTAGCTCCCAATTAGAGATCAGAATTTTAAATAATGGATAGGAATCGCTGAATTACTTTCCTCCTATAAAATGCCATTTTTTAACTAAGMGACTGCTAGAAAAGGGCTTTAATTTGCTTCAGCTTTGCTATGGCTCTACAGAAATGAATATTTATTGATCTTATTTCAAAAGCTGAGTTTTCAGATTGATCAGATATGGGTAATTGATGGAGTTCTTATATATTTTACAGCTGTCTTTGCAAATGGTGTTTGAAGAAACAGAAAAGCTTGAAGGCTATGCAGTTTTTAAAAAATCTTTCCACTATCTACATGCCAGAGCAGACCACTGCTGATAGAAAGGTGTCTGGTGGTGGGGGGCAGGAATGTGCACAACACACRAGTCTGCAAAGCAAACTTGGTAGTTTGGTGGACAATATTAAGACTCATACCTGTATGTAAATGTTTTCCATTACCTGTTTTTGTTCTTTCACCTCTAGTTTAAAGCATTGCAATGTACTGTAAATAATATAACAGTAAATTTAAAAAGCATGGTATACTTACATATGCTATTAGAATGTTGCACTATAAGCAGTTTAATATTTTATTTTTTTATCATATAAACAAATTTAACCRAGGTAGGCTTTGTCACATTTGTTTGTTGCACTATAGTTTGTATTCACAACCTGATTATAAAACCACTGGCAACTGTTAGTGAGAGATTGTTGGTTTATTTTTTCCTACTCAGTTTGCCACATTCTAACAACCTGTTGGCAGGATCGATTCTTAACATGTGGTTATGACCCATACTTCTGTATCCKGATGTATCAAGATGAAAAGGAAAGTTAAAGCACAAGAGCAGAGGAAGAATGCTACAMCGAGCTTACCATCTTTCATCAAATTAGACTTGTGTTTATTCCCTTTGTCCTGACATTTTTGGTTCAAATGGATGCTTATCTGAAAAGTATGCACCTTAGGTTGTTTCTGAATTAAATGGAGTTAAGCATGCTTTGTACGTAAAAGCCTGGGTTTAGGTTTAAAAAGGCTGTTGGGTCCAAAACCTTTCATGTTGTGTCACTTCTCTGATTGCTGTATTTAGGRTTGAACTGCTAACAATTATTCTCAAGGGGTATTCCCTTCCTGGTAGGAGTGTGAAGTGTTTTTTGAAACAGCATAACTGCATTTTCAAGAACATCAGAGAACTCCAAAGAAACTTACCTGTCTTAATCCTCACTCAGTTCATCTTGGCTTTCACAACTGCAAATGCTTACCAAAAGCAAGTCCTCTGGAGTAGGAAGTTGCATGGAGCTGTCTCCTCCACCTGTCCAAATAACCAGTTATTAACTGGAATATGTTGGGTGCCAGAGCTGGGGAGGGTGCTGGTTCTGAAACCCCAAAACAGTTCTGGAATACTGGAAAAAGATGAGGTACTGGGTAGTCTGTTGCACCACACACCATACCACAACCCAATCAGGTTTCTTGGCACACAGACAAAAGCTRAACACTGACACAGCACAAGTAGAGCCAAAGGCTCCTCTCCTGTCACTGTTACAGTGGTGGAAGGGGTATTGCCTGTTGATAAAAACCTCTTTCCTTTATTACAGTAGCAATTGAAAGGAGCAGAGGACTGTTGCTTATTAATAGAAATTTCAGGGGTTTCACCRTGATTTTCTTCTACATTCTGTCCCTTTTACATACAAGACTTGGCTCTTTTATACTTGGTTCTTATGATAATTTTGGTCCAGTGTCTCTGGTTTAAAAAGCAGTAAGCAGTTTTATTCTTAATTGTCTTAAGCTGTCCCCTTCCTCCCTGGAAGGAAAGAATAGTATCATTTTAATGAGTTTGGACATRTTTTTACCATTTTTTTAATGTATACTCCTACTGTATACACATTAACCTGGTTAATGTGCATGTTTTGTAGTATCTCAGTCTTTTATGCTGAATATCTTGCTGGCATTCTAAAAAGAAATTTTCTAAAATTGCAACTCCTTGGAGAAATACTGTTGGAAGCAATAGCTCTAAGCAGTGGAGACTATTGTTTACTACTGCTCCTCTGAGGATCTTTTATTTCTAAAARTAAACATCATGCCAATATCAGCCCTGGAGTAGATTTCAAGCTTTAGCATTATAGTTGACACAGCAAATCAAACCTAGCTCACCTGAACAGTAAGTGATAAGGAGGTTATGTATGTTTTTCGGGTAAAAGTCCTATTTTACCAAAGGAAGATGGCTGGGAGTTTTACATGAAATACCACCATGTACCTGTATCTGAGGTTTCATTGGATGTGGACTTTCAGCTGTTCAGCCCATTAAGAGATTTAAATGTCTTATTAAAGCCTCTGTCTTGCCTTTTAATGAGTCTGTTGGCCTACACTTATTTCCTTTAATGCTTGTATCTAGCACCAAATAAAGAATCTTCCTTGATTTTCTAGGTGTCTTACACCAAATCCTATTTACTTGTACAAGCTTTATCTGTTGTGTGAATTCAACGGCATGACTATTAGGCAATTCACATAGAATTTACAGTTGCCCTACCTTATCCATTCTTTGCATTCTACTAGGTATGCTGTATGGCTCAAGAGTTCTCTTACGTCCAATCAAAAGTGAATGCCATAGAAGAACCTGATTATTCTGTGCAACTCATTTCCATTAAATTTTAGATGCTGAAAGAATTAACACTATAAATATCTCAAGAAATATATTGTAAATCCACAGAGTAAAAATAGTCTCATTTACTGTAGAACCCATGGCATACAGAACTTCAGTATAGCCAGCTGCTAAAGCTTAATTTTTCTTGCGTTTCTGTTCTTAGTGATACAACTTCCTGATTTTTCTGTTACCCTTTTTCCTCTAAAGTTCTAAATTTATATTCTCAAAGGCATAGTATTTCAGACAGCTGTTATAGCTGGAGTTTTTTCCTTGTTATAGTAGGGGRAAAAATGTGATTCAGGTTGGAAGAGGATGTTAAGACTCTCTGGGAGAGTTATGGGGAGGAACAGAAGAGAGTAGAATGGTGGCTGTAATCTAMCCTCATACCCCACCTTAGTCATTACCAAAGCCTGTTGCTTTCATTCCAGGAGAAAATATCTGGGACATGCCAAAGCCACAGTTGCATGCAGGGACTGAAGTGCCCTGTAAGGGGGAAAAAAAAGTCTGAGACCCCACAAAACACAATACAAGCAGTCCAGGCATTTTGTGTCACTCATTTTATTCACATGTATAAGTTGACACTACACTTTTATTACAGACAATAAGCATTTAAAACAAATACTGTTTAAAAACTTTAAAAAACACATATTGCTTCAAGCTTAGATGGTATTTCCCTATTGTTTTTAAAGTGAATTCRGTGCTAACAACAGCTGAGGCAGCTTCCCATTCACTTGTACCCCTAATTTCATAGGGCTACTGGCAATATCTCGAGTCAGGCTCAATTTATGGCTTTGCTGCTGAGTGCACTAACTGAGCTGGAAAATAAACCGGACCATCCAGGTTACCACACTTAGGCCCTCGGATTGCTAGCATTTGGTTCCTATCACAGTAAAAAAAAAAAAAAAAAAAAAAAAAAAGAGGCCTTTATAGTTTAGTGACACTACATTATACCTTAAAAAATAAGAACAGATGCACTTGCCTGTGTGCTAAAAATTCAGTTTAAATGTGCATGTGCTACCTGGATAAAATTCTTACCAGAAATTCAACTCTGTCCCTCAGTTTTGTTAAGGTTGGCTCTAAGTTTGGCTATCACCTTGACTATCTCAGCTTCCTGTGGAAAAGTCTGTATTTCATAGTTGCAAAGATGTGACAGCAGTGACTGAACAGGCATGCTACTGTATTTTACAGGACGTTCTTACGCAGTATCCATAATAACATTTTACACTGTAAACACTAGTCTCCACAAYACTATAGTTAAATTGCAGCATTACACATTGTAGAATTCTTGCTTCACTTAGCTAAGTACTTTCAGAAACATAAAGGAATAAACAGYAATTTTAATGAAGACTTTGGACAATTGATTATTTACTATGTTCTTGCCAAAAAGTTCTACTTCTAAAACRGGAGTGAGAAGTGTTCACCAGATGGCTGAATCCAAGAATCCATGCAAGACAGAGTTCAGAAATTCCTTAACTGATAGGGATTCATTCGCTAGGTTTTCTACTTTTTAGTGAGTCCAATTTGAAGCAAAATGGTCACCTCCGTTAGGAATCTATGGAATACAGTTAAAGCTTTTACRTCTGAAAAGTTCTGCTTTACAATTCAAGTGCTTTTCATTTGTTAACATCAAAATACCAGCAGTTTTCCAGACCAAATACTTGACATGTAGAGCTTGCAGTGATCAGAACTATACAATTTAATATAGTCTAAGCACAATAGTAGCTTTTTAGTCAAGTAATGCCCAAATGGAGGAAGGCTACCTGATTTGCAGAATCATTTACCCCTTACTTCAGGCATTGTATTACTTAAACCCAGATAGTACCAACATAGCACCCAGGATTGTTTTAGCTACAGACCATTTGGAAAAGCACTATGACTCACAAGACCTTCCTAGTGTCTCTGCTGTCTTCTAGTTAATAGTCTTTGTGGGGAMCAGCTCTTGACCAGACAAGGATTAGGTACAGATGATTTCCTTAGTACACAGCAGCCTTGATGCTGTTGAAAATTCTCATGCTCTGTTGAACACCTGAGCAGGCCTGTTGGAGATGTTTTAAGTTTGGTTCCCAGTATCCAAGGCAGAAGACAATTAAGCCTCCTATAATTATTGAAAACACCAACACCTTAATGGGAGATACATCCTATGCATACATGGGTACTTAAGGCAGGCACACAGTCATCATCCTGGCTCCTCCATTCTCTGTGGGAAGAGAGAACTGTAGAAGCTGTCTTTGAAAGCGTGGCAAGATGAGTCCTGCCCTACACAATCAASGAAACTGTTAAATGTGACAAAATGCACTGAGGGCACAGTCCATCTGCTGTAGTTACATAAAGCCTACAAAGCCTGTGGGCAGCAGGAAYAGGCGAGTTTTTATTGAATAAGGCTGTTAAACCCTACTGAGTTGGTGCTTCAACACTGTTCAAAGCTGGGGTGGCTTCTGTAATTGAAACAGCATCAGAAGCAAATTAAGAATATTTACAGCAGCTATTTAAAGAGGAAAACACAACATAGAAGGAAACTAAAAGAATTTCATACGGAGTAAAGGCATCCTCTGGAATAGTTTTCCCCRGTTTTGGGCATTGTTCTAAAGTTTCAGGAAGTTCTAGCGTGTGGTTGGTGTAGCAGTCKTAAGACCGGGATTTTGCTGTGTACAAAACAGTCTAAATCATACTGTGCATTCCCAGACTTAAAAGCTGTAAGATCTTWAATAGGTAGCCTTCAACAAGAGTTGTCTGTATTTTTATAGCTTTATGCTTAAAAGGCAGGTAAAAAAAAAAATCAGACTGTAGATTCATGGATTCTAGGACATCTTAACGAAGTTAAAATTGTGAGTAATGAGACCTTTAGTGATGTGATAGAATTGACACTAGGAGGCAGCAATGCTTGGACCCTTGGCACAATTACTTCAAGAACACAATCAGACATTTCACTAAGCATGTATCCTCTGTGTTGCAACAGTAATTCTAGAGCCCTGCTTACACTGAGACTGTGGAATGAAGCTAAAACTAGTGCAGGTTTCTGCTGCAGAAGTGCAAGTATGCGTCCTGTGGGAAAGTGTCCAGCCTGTAAAACACAAGCTTCAAAACAATTAAACCGAGATAACCAACATATGTAACTATGAACCACACATCTGAACAAAACTTTGAAGCTCACAACTACAGCAATAATCTGCCTAAAGCRTAGTTAGCAAACTGAAAAAAGGATAATTTACAGCCACCTGAGGGAAACAAAACCACCAAGGATATCACAATGACTGTCATACTATGTAGAATTAGGACCTACAAAACAAAAGTGTTCAAACTTCATTACATTTTGTTTACTAAAGGATATACCCCTCCATCTTTCCCTAGCCCTTACTCTGTCMCCACCCCCTATAAATGAGGGGTTCTGCACCAATTTTGAGAGGCAGAAAGCTGCTAGGACCTCATCTACAGGTTTTGTCAACACAGTTTTCAAGTTTAAACTCTTTAACAATATACTTGTATAATATCTCCAAGTGGAATGCTATTGCACTCTGACCCCCACTGAGCATAATAGATACTCTGAAGTGTTAAAAGTAGACCTCACCAGAAAGGAGCCAGCCCTCTCCTTCAATAAATGCATTTACATGATTAAGTACAGACTATATGTGACCACAAGGTTAGTACAGTGGTACAAGTCTATATTGGTAGAACAAGTAACTGCTTATTGAGTGGCAGCTATCAGATAATGATTGTCTACATTAGTTATTTGGTACAACAGGAACAGCTACAGAAAAATAATCCTGTAGCTGCTTCTTGCCCTGAAAATGAGCKTCTATTCTAATGACCTTAGAAACAGCGATAAAAGTTAACATCAGTGGATTCACTAATCAAACAAGGTTGGTTTTTGTTTGGGGAGGGGCGGTTGTAGTAATTTTTAAAGTTTCTATATACAGACTATTCTTGRTATTTGCCTGCCTAAAGTATCTGTATTTATTAGTGCTGATTACCAGACACTGATTTCCCGTTGCCCATCTTCATATACTTATTYTGGTAAAAGTGTCACATCAAATAGTATTATAAATACAAAGGCACCTCCATCACTCTTTTAAAGTCTTTCCCCAACACCGACTCCCCATGATTTGTATTTTAAATAAGGGAAAACATTACTTGTAACCATGATCAGAAAAATATTTGCTTTGACTCCCTGTATGCTAAGGTTCCCCCTCCCACCATCAAACAAACTAACTGAAGCATTAGAAAAATTCCCAAAAGGGGAATTGTTTAAAAGTTTGGGTTGTTATATCTAAAAGCCTCTTCAAATGTTATGGCTCCAAGGATACACCCCACTGTGAGGTAGGTAGCCAAGATAAAAACATTGTAACAAATACTTTAACAGCTGGAAACTCCCTATAAAAACCTTGCATAAGTAGTTTGGTTCCTTGCACTAGTGTCCTGATAAGYGAAACTCCTTCTGAGGATGCCTAAGGGAATCCAGGTTCAGAGAGCTCTTGCTGAGTAGCATCTCATGTACTCTGTCATCCAAGGGTTATCTGCTGGGGAAGGCTTTGTTCGCCAGGTGCTTTCTGCCTCTGCTGATCGCACTCGTCTCTGAGAAAGTTTCCTCTTCTCTACTTGTCTCCTGTTCTTCGCTCGTAGAGCAGATTCATGGATCTAAAAGAAAGAGTTAGTATTACTATTCCTTATTAGAAGGAAAATGGCAAGGAACCCCTCAAGAATGACAAGGATTGTTTTTTCTTTGTCCCAGGCCCCATCCTTAAGGAACAGAGATTGTGAACAAGGTTATATTTTCTTCTGTAATTTGTACTCCTAACTGAAGCACAGATTTTTTTTTTTTCTGTGTAAAGTACTTCAAATTCTGTTTTGCATTCTTTGACACTTTGAACTATTAAACGATTCCAAAAATCCCAAATGTTTCGTAGTCTTATTCAGATATATTCTAAACCCTTCAATTCTCTATTTCTGWCATTTAAAATCCTAAACACCCCTCAATGTGCCCAAGCATCCCTTAAAACCTAAGGCGTATTAGTGAGACCAAACCCTAGAGATTCCTTACCAGAGACTAAAGATCTTAATTTTAAACATGCTGCTGAATACAGAATTACATACATTTTTTATATTAATAAATTATCATAGTTCTCCCGGAAAATGTAATCTGAAGAGTAAGTTTCTATGTTTGCTTGCTTCTATCTCCAGATTGAAACCTCTGTCTCCCATCTTAATTAAAGGAAAGTAAACACCWTTCAGACATTCAAGAAAAAGTAACCTCACCAGGCAGTAAGTAGTCAGGTCATACCTAAAATATCCTTAATGACAAATGCYATATGATTGGGAGTGTTTCAGAAATGTTCTGCCATACAGTTCAGACTCAAAAGCTGAGCTGAGGTGTTCTGTTACTGTTTCTAGCATTAGAAATGTTAGAAGTCTAAGATAAAGTATAAAGGTATCTGCTCAAGTCAGGCTTCAGCCTCTTCTAGGCTTCAACACAAAGCACCACTCAACTATTTTGAGCACTGACCAAAGCTTATCAATTCAGCATTAGTGTCCATTATCAGGAAAGGCAGCTTCTTTCCAAAGTTGCAAGCCCCAAAGTTTCTCATTTTGCTCAGAGAGTTGAGCTGTCCAGGAAGGAAAAGACTGGGCTTCAAACCTGTACCAAAACAGCCCATCAAGGGCTAGCTCTGTCTTGCACATTCATGACCACCCACCACTCAATCCTCAGGTACCTTGTGTTGTAGATTCAAACTCTACATTGATGGTAAGAGAAGGGGAAGATCCTGGCAGGGACACATTTATGGTTATGTTTTACCAGCCTAGGAGAGTTATAAGGAAGGAAGAAGTGAATCTGTTGTAACACTCCCTTGCTGTCTCTAGACCAGGAAACAGAGCCCTAGTGCAGCAGAATCCTGGTGCCCTCCATGACCACATGAATTTAATTTGGGCTATTTTGGTAATATTTTCACCAGCCCTGTAATCCATCAGCCATCTGATAGACCATTCTGCTGCAAGCAGCATTTCCTACTGGCAACRCACCAGAACAGGCTGCTAGACAAGRCATTTTAGCAGAAGAGCATTTGTACTGTCTCAGTGAGGCTCCTAGTCTAGAAAGTACCCCCGCAAAAWGTCACTCTTTCACAGCACAAGCGCTACCCCAGTGTTTATGTACCTGCYTGGTGCTAATGGCCTGCTTTTCTCTTGTTTTCTTGATGCTCAGAATGCAGAAATACATTTGTAACAGCTGAGTTTGCTGGTAACACTGTAACAGCCAGAAACACCACAGCCACGGTTCAATTACAAGTTGAAAGCCTTAGTCAAACATGGGAAGTTTCTAAATCTACTAACAGTAAAGAGCCCTTTTGTTTGAATATCTCAGAACWCTTCAGAGTTTTTAAAATTTACTGCTAGAATCTCCATGCATTCAAATAAAGGGACTCCTGAGAAGTTTTACCTAAATATTAAGACACTAGATATCTAGGCACTATGTAGTCACTGCCTTTTCATGAAACAGAAGCTTTTACTTACTTCATTCACTGAAGCAGAAGCACAGACATTGTGAGTTTTCTGGCTTCCAGTATCCGTCTGTCTTTCTCCCCACCCATACAGGGCAAATGGATGTTTATTCTCCTTTGGTGCATCTGTCCTTTGGGGACTTTTGGCTGTTTTTCGATCATTACGACTGGACAAGGCACTTCGACTTGGACGTCGTCCTGTACGGCTGGTTTTGTCTGTTTCCTTTACAGAAGTGTGCTCTACAGTTTTCTCTTGCTCTTCCTTCTCCTGCTTTTCTTGATCTTCTTTTTCTTTTTCTTTTTCTTTCTCTTTCTCTAAAGAAAAAGAAAAAGTTAAGCTTTAAGCTCCCAATAACAACATATTCATGTCTGATTTGCAGTCTCTYAATACATCACTGAAGCTGTGCTTTTTTTAGAAATGCAAGAAGTCACTACTCCCTTAGCAACAGACACATACCTTGCTTGAAGGTCTTCATTCTTTCTTTAGTGACTACAATACAGCTTTCACATACTTTAAAATGCCTTTCACTGGTGAGGTTACAGATAGAATACAGAATTTAAACATTGTTTCCAGTGATCTTTTGTGTTCACTATTTCATCCTTCCATCTCTCAGACAGCAAACAGATGGATTGCTGAATGCCACAGAGAGGCTGCTAGCCAGTCAGAGATGAAGTCTGATAAGAGTACATGTAATATTAAATCCCACATATTATCAGCTTCTGCTGAAAAAATGATTCACTTTCAAGCTCCCTGCTTATACATATATCTCTGATGTGGTTTTCTATTTATGGAGAAGAAGACAAAGTATGAAGCAACTATGAAGCAAAAATCTACAAAGTGGTAGTCATCACCCTTGCTACCTGTTCCATGAATTATGTTGCACATTTAAAGTACCACATTCTGCAGGCATTACTCTCCAAGGCTTATTTCTCCCACYCATTCAAGCCTTCCATATCAAGGGGCCAGCAACAGGCCTCCTCCTCCAGGCACTAGGTGTGGAGAGCAGGGTTTGTGAGGAAGAAKAAAGGCTGAATAACTGCAGTTTTAGATCATTGCTGAAGGCTGAATCAGTGTTACGTTAAATATTAATTAATAAAGACACAGAGGAAGAACTGTTCCATAAGATTTAGTCCTTTTGCACTATAGTGCTAGGGAAGAACCGGTTTTCCTTTATTTGTGGCACCAGTGAAGCCACACCTTGAATCTTATGTTCAGTTCTGGGTCCCTCCCTACAAGAAAGGTACTGAGGTACAGAAGCAAGTCCAGAGAATGGCAACAGAGCTGRTGAAGGGTCTGGAGCACATGTCCTGTAGGGAACMGCTGAGGGARCTGGAGTTGCTTAGCCTGGAGAGAAGGAAGCTCAGTGGAGACCTTACCACTCTCTACAACCACYTGAAAGGAGGCTGTRGCAAGATGGGGTTCAATATGTTCTCCCAGGTAAGCAGTGAAAAGACAACAAGAAATGGCCTCAAGTTGCATCATGGGAAGTTTACATTMTATACAAGGAAAAATGTCTTCACCAGAAGTGTGGTCAGGAACTGCCCMGGGAAGTGGGCAGTCCCCCTGGGTGGAGGTATTTAAAGAYGTGTAGATCAATCATTKTGGGACATGGTTTAATGGTGGATTYGGCAGTGCTGGGTTAATGGCTGGATTCAATTTGTAAGGTTTTTTCCAACCTAAAAAATTCCATTGCTCTATAAGGARCAAATTAATCAAATGTGCTGCTTACAGTACATTAAGTAAAATACAACATCAAGAAAAAAGTAAATACAAAGAACCCTGTTTCCATTCTCCATCTTGCAAATCTTCAGCAGTAGGGTTAGGGCTAGCAGTAGTGCGGACAAACTGGAAGTATGTGCTAGACATTTGAACAAAGTCCCTAAACGTTGTGGGCAGGCACAAGCAGACATCACTAYCTGACATCTCCATGATTTTTAGGCCAGCCATGCCTTTCATGCATAAGGCAACTAAAGCCTTTTATTCACCTAAGCGCCCACTTGTAACCAATTCCCTTCAAGTGTCCAACTCTGACCATTAGATGTTGTTTTTTGGTAAACACACACTGTGATCACTCAGACTCTGCTGACRCAAACACATCAAATGTGCAAGTGTTCTACCACATCATCTATTTCTGTTTCTGGTAAGGACCAGCTCCAAGCCACCTCTTTTCCAAGTCTCAGCGCTTTCAGCCACCACCAGCACACGCTGGAATACTCAGAAGGAATTCCTTCACTGCCATAGAGAGTTGACCTGGCTTAGGGCTTGCTTACTTATTGACAGGTTGACCATGGAAAACCAGTGCAATTTTTACCCAAGTGTCTTCACCATCAAAAGCAGAAGGGCTTGCCAATCCTGTGACAAAAGAGTGACTATTCCTGCTAGCTGCTATTATTTCAAGCACATACCTGCCCACTCTGATGCTGCTTTAATTTCAATCCTGCTTCTATCCAGTTCTGATGAAATAGGAGTTACCAGCCTGGCACACCGGTTAGGCTCCCATTTACTCTTGCACTCACTTCAGACTTGCAGGGTAAAGATACCAAGGCTTGTTCCATGCCCCAGAACTGCCCTAAGACAAGTCTTATGATCTCATTCTAGCTGTTAGCCTTGCCAGCACACTTTCTGCTTGCTGCCAGCCAGCACAGGGGCTCTGGTGCTGGGCACTGCTCAGGTTTGCCTATACCCATCTTCCAAGCTGTGCAGGTGAAGCATCCAGCTGCAGCTGATACTGTGTGGTACAGCTTAGTATTTGGTCAAGAGTGGGCAGCAATGTTAAAGTATTYAGAGCTGTATTTGTTAAGAATTCAGTTGACTAACCCCACAAAACAGAAAAAAAAATTTAAAAAAAAAAAAATCAAGGCCAAAGTAGTAGTATATTGAGAGCAAAAATGGCCAGATGAATTTTACATACCTAAAAATTGGCTCGACACAGTTTCAGTTACTGTAGCCAAGGCTGGATAAAATACAGCAGCAGTGACCTCAGCGTGATGTAAGAACCTTGTTCTGCGCACTGTCCTGAGCTCTGGGACACACAGCTTCACCTYTGAAATAAGGCAGCTCATTCATTATGGCTGCACACAGGCAGCAYAGAGCTATCCCCTTACAAAATATTATCTGAGCATCTCCCTACACAGCCATTCTGAAGGAGGGACTGCCAAGGTCCATTATCAGAAGGAAGTGCTGTTTTGAGAAAATGAAACACTGAACAGGAACATATTGCTGTCAGTTCCACAACAGGAGTGCTTTCATTTTGGAAAGCTGTTCCACCCTCCATTCAAGGGAAAATGGCATCTTCCTTCTCTGCAAAGGAGGATGGAGCAACACTGACTTCATTTACAGCAGAAGTGGCATTTAGAGACGTAAAAATACAGGAAAGTGGGGGCTCTGCAATTACTTGGGTAGTTTAGCTTTTAAAAAATAAGGCAACAGTTTATCACTGGGGATGCTTGTCACTAGGATATAGCTCCAGCTGGTCCAGAAATGATTGAGCCAGCTTGTCCAAAAATAGCAATACAAGCATATGGGTGAATGGCATGCAGAGCCCTGTGCAGCCTCACAGCAAACGCTGTGTGCCCCAGTGCACTGCAGTGCTTATGAGAACCTGCTATTAGAGCAGGTATTTCCAAAACTCGCTCCTGCAGTGCATTGACACACAGCTCAGCTGGTGAAGGCACAAGATCTCTAACCATCATTTCAGCCTTTTATTTAAAACTACAGTTTATATCCAAGCCATTTTTCTAGGCAACATTTTCACAGGAAGTCAGAAAAGCAGCAGTTGACAGCAGGACTTAGACCCAGCTGCTCAGGGAGTCCAGGCACCAGCATCACCTCCCCATCTTCTCCTTCCCATGCAGGGCACCAGCTGCAGCAGACACAGGAAACTCAGAACTGACTGGCTTGCAGCATTACAGGGATTAGGCAGGAGAGAGGAAAAGCTGGAAACATTTAAAACTGCATCATGGATGCTAAGCAGAACACACTGGATGGACAGGAGGGGATTAAGTGCTTAACAGGCAGAACGAATCTGTCAGGCCCACCCAACACGGCTGTTGCAAGCTCCTGCCCAGGAGAGGTCACTTAAATCCAGCTGCATCGCCCTGCTCGAGTCACAGCTTCGCTCCTGGCTCAAGCAGGAACAGCTCCAGTGGAGCCACTCTCTCGACAGCACTGCACGTCCCGGGGAGCAGACAGGACCCCCATTTCAAAGGCTCTGCTGACTTACTATGAGTGCCAACAGCCTTCTGATTAGATCCACAGGCCAGGTCTTAGGGCTCAGTGGTATTATCTCTATTATCTCATATGGAGATGTTGGCTCCTTACAACACTACCTCAGAATCGGGAGAAGCGCTTTGTGCTTGAATTGCTGCAGGCAGAACTCGAAGTTTCCTGCTTTCGTACCAACATCTCCCCGAATGCGGCGGATCTCCCACACCTCTTGAAGGGGCTATAGAACCAGTTGTGGCATCAACAAAATACAGCTGGGAAGAAAGTATGTAACTACAGATGAAACAGATTGCAACATAATTTCTTCAAGGCAGACCTTGAGKGTGGCAATAATGAAGATAGCAGCCATGCAGCAGCTCAGAGTTAGATTAGATTCTCAGATACTTCATCTGCAGCAGAGCTCAGAAAGTAATTACTGGATTGGCTTGATAGTAAAGCTTGTTTCCAAAAAAAAAAAAAAAAAAAAAAAAAAAGTTTAAAAAAAAAAAAAAAAAAAAAAATTGGAGCAACTTTAAATAGAAGTACTGTAACCCCCTGAATTGACACCCTTGCCTTCTTCCCCAACACAAGCTGCTCCTTCCCATATCCGTAGGCCAGCAAATGCATCTGCAATACAATGACAGACAAGAAAAGGGGACAAGTTTGAAACTRGATCTTCTGTTTAGTTCCACTAATCCCAATCAGTCACTTTCCAAATACTGTTRACTCAACTCCTTTGATGGCAGCTTGTCACTGTTCTCACTTAAGACCACTGCACAGAAGTGCTGAAGGCAAAATGGCAATGAGGATTGAAAGACGCCTTCATCCCGCATGTGTGTGCAGCAGTGTCATTTCACAAGCAACAGGTCTGACAGCAGCACTGCTGCCAAGAGTGCCTGTCCTCTGCTTATCACCCACTGGGTTCTGTTGACAGCTTTGAGGATGTGTCTACACCGTAACTACACCAGTTGATTAAGGTCAAGATTTTGTTGGATTATGTTTAAAGCACATGGGCATGTTCGCAGAACAATCCCACAAACAGCTGCATCAAGTGGAGGGCCAGAAGGAATTAACCCAAAGTTGCCTCTGAGCACACCTTGGTATCACTCAGCCATAGCCTGCAGTGCAAGGYACAGTGACAAAGCCCCTTTGTCCCTCGTGTCACCCCAGGGGTTCACTCTGGTACTGCTTTAGACTAACACCATTGAACCTTAAAGCCCAAGCTGCCTCCATCCACTTTCTCAGAAGCATTCACAAACTTGTACAAGCACACAGAGGCTCATCTCAATGAGAAGAAAGAAGAAAGCAGGGCCACACATGTCATCATGAATTGTTTTTAGCGCAGATATTTAACAACGTTAATGCTGGCCAGCCATACTTGGCAGCAAACACTGTCAATACYGCTCAGGCAAAAATCAGATTCCCCACAAAACAGCAGGAAGCAGCAGTAGCCAGGTAACAGCTAGGATGCTCCAGCATGTGAGTGGATGTCAGATTCAGAAGACAAAAGATGTCATCAACATCAGCACACTCTGCTACCCCCACAGCACTTCAGTGTAATTAAGTTCTTCCAGAGTAAAAAAAAAAAAAAAAAAAAAAAAAAAAAAAATTGTGAAAGGCAGCTTAATAGTAGAAGCAGTAGAGTGGTAGTTTCTATGTTATCTCCTCCACATGCTTTAATTAGCCAGCCACTAGGCAGAAGAAAAATACATCCTTWTAATTGTCCAGCACTGAATCAGTCACTGGCTTATATATTAGTATGAACATTAAGATATAATAAATATCCGCTGTATCCAGCTGCCTAAGTGGAGCAGCTTTCAGTCCTTTCGCTAAGGGCTTAGCAAAGCTCTTAAATACGTGCAGAACTTAAAAAATGTTTATCCAAAGCCATTTGGCAAAGAMGTGAATGTTAAGGACAGATTTTTCTCCCACTTTACATATAAAAAACCAAGGACCTAGCAGAACATCAGGCATTCCCCYACAGCATCCATGGAAAAGTTGTATCAGCTACGGAAGCACAATTGCCCTAAACCCTGCTGCCTGGTAGGCCACTGCTTCTCCAAGTCCSTCTCCACTGATACTGGACTGAGGACTCAACTGTGCATACTCTGGGTGGTCACACGGGCCATCACTAGCCACAGAAAATGCCTGCACAGCTAGCAAGCTTTTATTCCCTAASAAATCCCAACCAGAACCAGGCCACCAAATAACTCCAGCTGGATCTTTCCCTTAAGAGGAGTCAGGGAGGGTATCAGGGAGCAGGCTAAGGAGTGACCAGAGCACCCTGGCCAGCAGTCTCCAGCCTTGGCAACTGCCAGTGCCACTAGACTGYGGCAGATTTACATGTGCTATCCACAGGCTCAACGAGAAGAATGAAAACAAATTGGTGTCCCTACCACAACTGCCCTAGATTTGCACRTGTTCAAACTACATCTGAAAAGCTGGGAATACCAAGGACTTCGTCCCGTTTGACAGCTTCCACCTCCTCTCATTAAAAGCCAAGCTTTTAGACAGCATTACCTTTTCCCATGCAGCCACTCCCTGATCTTTTGCAATTCCTTAGTGCTTCTTCTCACTGAGTTACTGTGAACTCCTTCCACACCTACTCCTGGCCTACCCTCCTCAAGGAAGGAAGAAAGTAAGATAAGGCCCACTAATACTTTGTTACACACTGGTGAGCTGCGGTGCTTCCATCCCTGCACAGCTGTTGTGGTTTAACCTCAGCCAGCAACCAGGTATCACAGGGTCACACACTCCCTCCTCTGCAGTGGGATGGGAACAGGAATCGGAAAAACTCATGGGTTGGAATAAGAACATCACAGTAATTGAAATAAAGTAAAATGCAGTAATAGAAATGAAAAAGGAAGAATAAAACCCAAGAGAAACCAGTGGTGCACAGTTGGTGGCTTCTGGGCTGCTCCCCCTAGTTTACTGATGRGAATGTTCTGGCTGCGGAATATCCCTTTGGCCAGTTTGGGTCAGCTGTCCTGGTTGTGCTTCCTCCCACCTTCTTGAGCACCTAATCTCTGGCAGACCATGAGAAACTAAAATCCTTGATTTAGAGTCAACACTGCCAAGCAACTACTAAAAACATCAGCATGTTATCAATATTACTTTCAAGCTGAATCCAACACACAGCACTGTACCAGCTACAAGGCATAAAATTATCATCCCTGCTGAAATCAGAACAGCAGCTTTGGGGAGATGAAGTGCATTACCCCAGCACCTGTGTGMATCCCCATATGAGGCCTTGGTACCAGACACCCCCAGCTCACTGCAGAACCCCACATCACTAATATGCTCTGAAACACCAAGCTTCTTGAACAGCTGACAGTGTGACTAGAGCTTTTGTGTAATATGGTATTCTTAAGGTCAGTAAATGTAGTTTAGTCTTGAATATCAGAATTCTGATCATTCTGGAAAGCTCAAGCCCCAAAGGGCATTGAATCAGATTAGTTTCCCCAYTCCAAACAAGCACATCTAACTCGAGGGGAAGAAAAATAAACACAAAATAAACACAAAACAAACAGGCAATATAAGGCTTAACTGAACAATTCTCAAGGATTTTCCCTGCTACGGTACAACAGCCAGCTTATTCAAGACATTTAAAACACCGATCAATGGCTGCCAGATACAGTATTCTGTTATTGAAGATGAGAAACCGTATCTTAGGGGATAAAAAAAAAATACCAACTTGGGAATCTTGAGAGTGTAACTATCTGCCCAACCACTGTGCGTAGTTACATCTTGAGACATCAGAGCAATTACTCCATGCTAAAAGAGAACAAAATGTTATCAACTCTGCATCTGTTCAGACTACAAAGTTGCCTGCACTCAGCTGCGAGCCCAAGATCAAACCTCAGGTGGCATTAAGCGTTCAGCCGAGACACATTACATGTGCAGACCCAAGAAAGCAATTGCGTTAAGTACCAGCCAGTGGCATACAGKCCAAGGTGCCGCTGCTTTTGCCGGAGAACCTGCTTATATAATTGCAGAGATGCTCGGCTYCCATGGCAACAGTTTACATAAGTGGCTGTGACTCAGGATGAGAGTTACCACCACTTGGCACTTTAAAGAGACACCTCCGATGCCGCAGCCATGGTTTCTCCGCAGGCCTAGCCAGGATCCGGCAGCGAGGCCCGGCTGACGAGCCGTTCCAYCCCCGGGCCATGTCCTGGGGGCGGGTGAGACGGGCCAGGCGGGGCCGGGTGCCCCCGCACGGTCACCCCGCGGGGTCCGAGCACCCCCGGCATCAGCCCCCACGCAGAGCCATCCCTGCCGAGCCCCGCGGCGAAGGGCAGGGCAGGGCGGCCCCACCGGACGGAGCGGAGCTCGGGCCGCACCGGACACACGTGTCCCCTCCCTCCGCCACCGCCGCGCTCCTTACCGGGGCTGGCCCGTCCCGCCTCGCTCGGCGCTGCCGCTCCCGCCGCCTCCTCCTCCTGCGCGGCCGCGGGGCTGCCGGCGCCCGGCGGCGAAGGGGAGCCGGCGGTGCTGCCGCCGCCGCTGCCGCTGTCCTGCTCCCAGCCGTCCCAGAGCCAGGGCCGGTGCGCCTGCTCCAGCAGCCGGCGGCTCAGGCGGTAGTGCAGCAGCTCCAGGTAGCAGGCGCCGCACGACTCCCACTTGGGCTCCTTGAAGCGCTTCATGTACTCCGTCTTGACGCGTCGCGCCGGCACCACCATGGCGGAATCGGGAGCGGGATCCGGGAGCCGCAGTCGGGAGCGGGAGCCGGGAGCCGCCGGCCGAGCCCGCCCCCTCCCGCTGCAACGTTTAAATCCAAACAGCGGTGTCCGGGCCCGCCCCCGCCCGCCCAGCGAGGGGAGGGATGCCTGGAGCGGGGGGACAGGGGCATGAGGCACAGCGGAAGGGATGGGATAGAGTGAAAATTAAATGAAGTTAAATATAGAATAAAATAAATTATAAATACACCAAAGCACCTCAGTCCTGGGCCCAGCAGTAGGGGAGCGGGAGCCCGGGTGATACCTGCACCAAGTGAGGCTCYGGTAAAGCCGCCTCGCCGCCCGGCTGAGGGGAAGCCTGGAGCTGCGCGGCGCCTATCGGGGCACGGTGAAACCCMGCGGGTCCGTGCAGTGCGGCAGAACTGGGGCAGCAGCAGCAGCAGTCTTCCGTGCGCGGCACCCCGGGGGAGCTGCTGCCTTTCCTGCCCCTTCTGCAGGGAGACCGCAAGGATGGGCAGCAGCCGGGGGCCCGCCGGAGGGACACGGACGCCGCTGCAGCTACAGGAACCCCTCTCCATTTTGTTCTAATCTGCTTTAAAAACCTGTCTCTAGWGAGAGCCAGAGCAGGATTCGCCTAATCCAGCCCCGCGCTGGGCGGTCGCCGTCTCTTGGGATACGAAGCGCTTTAGAGACTAATGCAGAAAGCGGGGCGGCCTCTACAGSCGCCCTCCTGCCTGCCCGCACACGGACAGGCAGCCTCGGCTCTTCAGCGGCTTCTGGATATTTCCTTCACTCACACACCGTATTTAGGGCATCGCAGCGAACCATGCCCCTGTGGGRCACGACTGTCCTTGGAAAGCGTTGCTGCAGAGCCTTTGCCACAGCATCGCGCACACTTCACAGCCCCCCTCTGGGAGGGGACAGCGTGATCCYCCCGCCCATCCCCGCCCGCTGGCCCACGGGCTGCAAGCGCCCTATTTTGGACACCTGCAAACCTGACTCCCCTTGCCTTGCGCAGACTCTGCACACAGACGCTCCGGCCTCGCTGCCAGCCCCCGCTCCGACACACGGGGGCACTGACGGATTTGCAGAAACCGTTCTAGGAAACGGCTTTTTTTTTATTTTCTCCCTTTTTTTTTTTTTTTTTTTTTTTTTTTTTTTTTTTTTTTNTTTTATTTTTTTTTAATTTTACTAGTAAGGAAGCAAACAGTATTTTTCCTTGCCTTGCCCTGCGCCTCCCCTGACTGACACAAATGAAAAAAACACAAGCTGTCACAGGTACCCGGGATGCTAAAGGCTGGCCCAGACTCTCCCAGTGTAACAAAAGTGCTGGTGGCTTTAAGGTGAGGGGGCGGGTGTTACACACAGCACCTCTGCCTGCRCGGCGGAGTGATGCAATCCTCGACACAGCTGGCACAACCAAATTGACTTAGTTTAATCGATGCTTAGATCGAGCAGAATTTAGCTCTGTTTTTGCGTGGGCTGGCTGAGGCTTTGCAACCCCGTGGTGTCCAGGCATGAGTGAGAGGGACACAGATATTGCCCGACATTTGCAGAAGTACCTGGACATCTCTCTCCAGCCCTTGTAGTTATGTTAACATCCCGGTGACAGTAGAATATTGGGCAAAACCAGGAGGACCCTCTGCGATTCAGGAAAATGCAGTCAGGAGAGGCCAATTGCAGTGATATTCAGTGCCTGGTGCTGCAGGCAGGCACACTGTGCATCKGCATCCATAAACCTGTTAAGATCCATTTAAAAACCCATTATCACTTCCCCAGCTCTGCCTGCTGCTCTCAGGGGTGGGTGGTGATAGGACGGCCAGGGAGAGGAGCCCGGTAGTGTATTTCCTGGGAAGAGAGACACAGCAATAGCTCGACCGCCTCAAAAACGAAAGTGGAGCTGCTTCTGAGAGCTYCTTCTCTCCACGCTGCGACACACACGGTGCCCTGCACAAGCAGACATGCAGGCAGAGGCAGCATRTTCCCCCCACACCCACCCAGTACTATCCTGGATTATATTTGGGAGCTGCCTCGCTCATTTATTACAACTCCTGAGGCTCCAGTGGCATCTGTGCTGTCCCTGASGCCTTCTCCTTTTGCCCTTAATGGTCCCGCTGGGGTCCAGCCGTGTCCTCAGCACCACCTGCTGTAATGGAGGGCATTTCATGGAAATCAGCAAGGAACAATAGGTATCAAAACATCTGTAACTGAAGACAGCAGCAGTGTCAGGGCTGTCTGGAGAGGAGAGTAGATTGCTCCCCAATTAACCAGGACTCGGGGTTCTTACTCTGATACTCTGCTCAGTCTATACAAGCATTTGACATAAGTGGATTTTACATAAACAGACAAGGTCTGGGGTTTGCCAAATTTCCTTTCCTTCTATAAAATGTTATTTTGCACTAAATGTCATTTTGAACCCACCTGCACAGTTTTAGCTGGTCACTTGTGGTTATTAAAATGCTGGTGTTTTTTCCCACATATTTTATTACAATCTATCCTTTCCCAAAGAACTTCTGACCCCTGTTGTCTGGGTTTCAGCTGAGACAATTTTCTTCTTAGTAACTGGCACAGTGCTGTGTGTTGGACTCAGTATGAGAATAATATTGGTAATACGCTGATATTTTAGTTATTGACCAGTAGTGCTTACTCTAAATCAAGGCCTTTTCAGTCTCCCATGCTCTGCCAGGGAGCAGGTGCACCAGAAGCCAGGAGGAGGCACAGCCAGGACAGCTGACCCAAACYGGCCAAAGGGATACTCCATACCACAGAACATCATGCCCAGTAAATAAACWGRKTGGGAGTTGCCCAGGAGCCACTGAMTGCTGYTCAGGARCAGGCTGGGCWTCACTCCRTGGCTGGTGAGCAATTTTATTGTGCAGCACTGTTTTTTCTTGGGTATGCTTCTCTCTTCCTCTCATTTTTATTACTATCATTATATGTTATTATTGTTATTACTGTAATTGGTATTATTATATATTACTTAATTTCAGTTGTTGAGCTGTTCTTATCTCACCCCACGAGTTTCACCAGTTCTTTTCTCCTGATTCTCCTCTCCATCCTACCAGGGGGTGAGGGGAGTGAGTAAGCAACTGCATGGTACTCAGTTGCCAGCTGGGGTTGAACCACAGCACCAGTTTAAGAAGACATAGCTGCATCAAAGATACATGGATACTCTCTGATGGCTTCTCTATCAGGAATGGATCACCTTTTGCAGAACCAAACCTCTCCTAAGTGCTCATAAACCCACTGCCCAGTCATTAATCTGTGTCTCCTTCATCACACAGGAAATGCCAGTATGACAAGCTCTGGATCCTGACACACAGTCTGTGAATTCCCATTTTCTGCAGTTTTCTCCCTAAACTCTGCACTCTTCAGAGGAGGCACCTAATCTTCACAGCAGCCTGCAAGGTGTCAATGCTTCATGAGTAAGAGTATTGTCAGTAGCTGCCTCCACCCCTCCTCTCCTTTGTACCTCACAGGCTTTAGTACTCTTGCTGACATGAAAATGAGCACCTAGCCTGTGTGCTATGAGGTGAGCTGCACCTTCTCACCCCTCCTCTCAAGTTTCACTTTGCAGTGCAACCCTCCCATCCAACAGGCTGCACGTACATCCCACAGCCTGGGGAAGGGGCAGCAGCAAGGCTTGGAAAGCAACTGGGGAATGACTCGTGTAGGAAAACTGCAACAGAAGTGTGCAGAGACAGCCAGCAGCATTGATGSTGTGATTCACACATTACCTGAAGCTGATGCCAGCAGAAGACTGAATGTAGATGTCAGGCACTTTCCCCGTGCCCTGCTACAATCTAACCTTGACATGCACAGTGCAACCGCCAGGCAACGGGGTCTGACATCCCAAACCARCCCCAGAGACATTTGGCAGCTCTGGGGCAGGATGACGAGACTGTCCTGGGTGAAGAACAACTCTTCCCTCACCCCTCCAGCTACAGCCAAGCAGCTCTGTGTGTGCCAGACAAGAATCATTCCCCGTCCTCGACACAGCAGCTCTGCATATTCTCAGTGTAGCTGTATAAACATTATTATTAATTTAATCCTAATGAGTTTTGGCTTCAATACCTCATGGCAGAGGCTTCCATGTACTGAGAATAGCCAGYTATTAAATGATTCCTAAATGAGGAAGTACAATATTTATGAGGCTGATACTAACATTAGAATTTCCTCCCTTGCATACTTTGCTGCACTTTTGCCTTCATTAAAAAATGAAATGAAGACACCATTTGAATCATAACACCGTAATTCTAAACATGTGTTTTTCTCTTAAAATACCTTTTCCCTGAGGATCTTATTTATGCCTCTTAATCCTTATTACTGCTTTTCTGCATGAAGAAACCAGGTGGCCAGGCAGGTCAAGAGCTTCTAACCAGATCCATGACAGATGACTGATTGATGAMAAAGCCCAGGAGTCCCAGTTTCCTCCACTGCCTCCATTTGAATGGGAGCACCATTCTCCTTAGGGAGTGCAGCAGCCTGGGCTGGGAAACAGCCTTATTATTTCTGTCTGACATAAGTGCAGTAACGTCAACAGCAGTGAGATAGCCTGATTTTTATGCAAAAAGTAGCAGGTAATGAAAAATGAGCATGGATGYTATTTTACAAAATGTGGTGCAGAAAAACACAGGGTAATCACGTGGGTAATTTACACATGGTTTTGTCTTGCAGTCTTTTGCTCTTGCACCTCTCTCTAGCTCCAGCCAATAAGGGGGAATAGTGGACAGTTTATACACAGGATGAGTGGAAAAATTACATGTCAACACATCTTTCAGATCCACAGACTTGTCTTCCAGCTGAATCAGGAACTGTCTGAATCTGAAGCTGGGCTGCTGAGTTTGCTTGGATAAAGTCTGGAGGAGAGAGAGATCAGGGAAAAGAAATAAGATGTTTCTCAAAGAGCAATGCATTTTTAAAGTATTTGACAGCATAAAATCCAAATCAGGGGGAAAATTTTGCCAGATGGGGGGAAAAAACCCACAGTATTCCTAGCCTTGTAAAACTCTGCTTTCACCTAGATCAGTGAATCTTTGCCAAATACTGGGGGTAGCTGTCCAACCACTTCAGACAACAAGCCAT